TCCTGCCCCCGCCCCTGTCACCCCGGCAGCTGCCCCCCCTGCAGCCAGATGATCCGTCAGCGCTGCCACTGCAAGATGAGCATGCTCTACGTGGAGTGCACGTCAGTACGCACACGGCAGTAAACACACACGGTGGGGGGTGGGGGGTGTAACTGTACGCCATGTGACCCACCACCTCCAACATATAAACACTACTGACTGTACTGTAATCCATCAGTCAGCAGTGTGGACAGTACCAGAGTAGTGGGAACACCAGAGAAGTAGCAGCAGTACCTTTGCTAGTTGTGTGACACTAGTTCACCGTGTTCAAGTCTCACTGATACTGTCTGTCGTTCTGCGCGGCCTCTGCTAAAGCCCAGCTGAGCTAGCATCCTGCCAGCAGGACAGACAGCTGTTACTGATGTATGAAAGCTGACAACTGATTTGTGTCTCTGTAGGAAGCTGACGTCAGCTGATGAGCAGACGAAGGTGGAGCTGGGCTCCTGCAACAACCAGTGTCCTAAAGAGGTACACACACAGTGAACACACACAGCCTGAACAAAACAGACTCACAAGGGTGTACGCCTGGTGTTTTACTCTCTGGTGTCCATCTTTAATTAACGGGCGTAGTTTACTGCCGGGTCAGGTGTTAGGGTTAGGATTTGAAAACAGAGTCAGCTGCTTGGCGTTCTGAGGAGACGTCAGTATGAAGCCTGGCACCGAGGGCTCCCTGCTGCCACTGTAGTGACACCGAGTCACGTGTCGCACCACCGCCACGTGGTCGAGGAGCAGAAATGAACAGTGTGCTTTACAGTGCAGAAGAAACAACCTCGCTGACTTGGGAGCAGCTCTGTTCGTGCACACGTATAACACGTTTCCCCCTCTCCGTCTGTGGAGGCCTCGTGCTGGCCCCTATTGCATCATGGAGCTTGTTTGTCTGATTTGGGAGGCGGAGTCACCTCCCTGTGTGTGTGTCACCATGCGGACACTGTCCTCCACTCACGGTGCTGGACGTCAGTTTGCTCCAGCCTTTCATTTCTCTCCGCCGTCCTTTCTTCCCTCTTCTCGCTCTCTGTGCTTCTTTGGCTTCTTCTGTTTTCCTTTCATCCTGATCAATAATCAATAATTGTTGGTGTCATTGCAGCAGTAACACAATACCCTCTGTTCAGCTCTCGCCTGTGATCACTTTAGCTCAGTGGCGCCAGACGACACACAAACAGTGTGTGTCTGTCCTCGGGTGTTTTACTTTCACCTGGGAATGATTTAGGTTTTTATTCCGTCTCACACACACACACACACACACGGCCTGGTGTTTGTTTGAATGGTGTGTTAGTGTGTGTGTCTCTTCAGCTCCGTCAGACGTTTGTGTTCACAGGCTGCAGTAACTGAACCTCCTAGAAGCTTCAGCACACACACACATGTTGGTCTATAGTTGTGAGGACACGTGGACGTCCCCCGGCCCCTGGTTCTACGCTGAACCCCAGAACCAGGTCTGAGCTGTGAGTGGTCCTTTGTGAGGACCGGACAGTGTGTCCTTACAAGAATGGGTTCACCCTAACATGTCCACACACGCACACTGTGAGCACCTAACCCAAACCCAGGTCGGTTTGTTCTGACGCCTCAGCTGCTGAAATGGTTTGTTCCAGTTCAGCTTGAGAGTCGGGATGTTTCAGAATATAAAGGATATTGATTATGGAATCACAATGTTTGGATGTTAAACATGAGACGTGCTTGTGGTCTAAAGGTTTCCAGCTTGTAAATTAACATCAGAACCAGTCCAGGTCCAGTTCGGGTTCATCAGGATAAAGGGTTTGTTACTAGAGCTGTCAGTCGAGTAAAATGTTTAATCACATGATTGTCCATGGTTAACTTGATTAATTGACCCTGAAAAGAGCCTTTCTTTATTCTGCTGCACCACTTCCTGGTTTCCCAAACTACGGGGCGGGCCGAGGGCCGTCATCACAGAATGTGTGTGCATTAAAAAAATTAGTAACGGCATTAAAAGTAAGTTCTGACTAAAGACAAGTCTCGCTGAGGTTTGGTTTTCTGTAGCCTCGTCTCTGTGCTGACTGATGAAATGTGTCACGTCCTGATCAAGTTCAGCTGAGGAGCCGAGTCCGTCCCACCTAGAGGGGCCGACTGGTGGTTTGGTTCAAGGAAACGGATCGATCCATGTTTCTGATTTCATGAAACCTGTGTGGATCGTTTTCTGGAAATCAGAGTGTAACGAGACCTCTATCTCTGTGTGTGTGTGTGTGTGTGTAGCTGAGCTGTGGGCATCGCTGTAAGCAGGTGTGTCATCCAGGTGTGTGCGAGGAGAAATGCCAGCAGAAGGTGAAGCTCCGGTGTCCCTGCAAGAGGATCAGGAAGGTACACACTTGTTTAACAAACGCACATGAGCTGCTTAACAAAGTGGTCACTGAGTGAACGTCTGGCAGATGTTGACAGATGTGCACACAGTGAAACGTTGTGTAGCCTTTGTGTATTTGTCAGTAGTTGAAGCCTGTGTTGTGTGTGTAGGAGTTCCTGTGCTCTCAGTCACCTCAGTGTGGTGTCGAGTGTGACGACGCCTGCAGAGACCAGCAGAGGAGAGTCAGCCAGGTAAACACACACACACACACACACGCACACACCTGTACAGTCACCGAGCGAGGCACACCTGGATACACACTAACCTGTGTGTGTCCTCAGGTGAAGGAGGCAGAGCAACGAGCCGCTGAGGAGGAGGAGCAGAGGAGACTCCAGGTCAGTCGCACACACTCAGACATAACAGTACAGTCCAGTACCTGTAGAGCCAGTACCTCAGTACCTGTAGAGCCAGTACCTCAGTACCTGTAGAGCCAGTACCTCAGTACTCGCCGTGTACTGCGTTAGTACACCTTCATAACGCTGTTTTCGCCATGTACCGCGTTAGTACACCTTCATAACGCTGTTTACATGGCAACACGGTGGTGTAAACAACCTGGACATGTGACTGAGCCTCACGGTGCCGACGCTGTACTAAACCCATGTTGGGTCTTTGTAACGCTGTGAGAACGACTTGTCAATCCTCGGCATGGCGAGGCTCTAATCACTGGGATTTACCCATAATGCTTTTAGTGTGACCACCGTCGGTCCATCGTGGTCTTTAAGGATTAAAACAAGCTACTGGTCAAAGTTATTTTTAGGTTTTCTTTTGCAGGTATTGATGAGATTAGGATCGTCACACACAGAGTTCAGCCTGATCGAGTCATTGATCAGCTCCAGTGTTTGCCCCTGATCGCTGATTAACCCTGTAGTGACTGAGCGTCTCCCCCCCTGTGGCCACAGGAGGAGCTGGAGGCGTTCGAGAAGCGTCAGCTACGAGGAGGTCGGAGGAGTAAGAAGCGGGGCAGGAGGGAGGAGATGGAGGACGAGCAGGGGAGGGTGAGCCGGTGGTGGAGGAGGTGCGCCGCCTTGGTCCTCGTCCCGCTGGGCGGAGCTCTGCTGTCTGCCGCTGCCTACTACCTCCTGAACACAGCCTGAGCCGACACATGGCCGCAACGTGTCCGTCAGCTCTGCTGTCTCCACGTTTGGTTCCACCTCAGGTTGTTGTCATCTGACCTCAGTTTCTGCTCCTCTTCCTCCACGTTACAGGACGCCGCCGGTGGTTCTGTTTGTCCAGAGGCTGGACGAACGTTCAGTGAGCACACCATGTCCACTGCTGCTGATCTCTGGATGGGGTCACGTACAGAGTCACTGCTACTTCCTGTGATGTTCGTCCTTTACACTGGTTTTGACGTAGTCCTACTGGAACATCTCTGTTCCCGTTGGACGTCCAATGAAGGCTTAGTTTGATTTACAAGAGTTAAACCAACTTTTTTTTATTATTATGCAGCAAATACCCAAACTGTTAAAAATCATCTGTGTTGAACGTCTGAACTGGAGCTGCAGTGTTTTCTTCTCATAACCAAATCGTTGGTTCTGTAAAAGTGAAAACCATGAACAGTGTTTCTGAGCTGTGACGATGGGCTCGACGGGCTCTCGGTCATGTGACCTTCACTGCAGGCCGTAGTGGTCTATTTAGTCTCCGTGCGTTTGGAATCTAACTGGTCTCTGAGCTCGTCAGGATGCCCAGTCATCCGTTTGGTTTCCCCCCAGACGGAGAGCGAGCTGTTCGATCTGCAGGGTTGGTCAGAAAACGGTTAGAACCACGTTAACAGTCAAATCAAAGTGTTGGACGCTGTCTGACCACGGTAAACATTCTTTTCTTCCTCACAAATGATCTTTATAAAATTTTCCTCCAATGTTCATGTTTTGTGTGTTTCTGTACGAGATGGAAGAGGAGGCGTCTGATTGGTTCATTCAGAAGTTGAGTCCATCAGAACGAGCCTCCTGCTCTGGTGCCGAAGTGTTAAGATGGTTTGAAAGTTCTGATGTAAAGTTAGGTTTTGTGTTGAGAAATAAAATGTGTCGAACTGACGTCATTCCAGGGTTTTGGCTCATGTTGGTCAGGATCAATGTGCTAAACCTGTCTCCATCAGAGGTCTTCACAGGTCCACCTGGTCCCCAGGAGTCGGATCAGGTCCTGTTTTACCGCCACAGGTCTCAGGTCTGTCCAGGACCTGGGCGTACCTGGTGTCAGGTGAGTCCAGAGGCAACGTCACAGCTCTGTGGGGCTTTAATGTAGGAAAGTTCGGCTGTTAACAGGGTTTTTTGGAATCAGATTGACACAAGTTGAACTGGTTAAATATTGATCGTAGAAAATAAACAGGTTAAAATGTTTTGTCGGATGCAGGAGGTGAAAACAGGACGGTTATGAATCGGTCTTTGAGGTCGTTTTACTTTGTGACTTTAGCTCTGAGGGTATTTTGTTATTATGACATTGCTATTTTCTATTGTGGTTGCTTAACTGATCACATTAATTGATCAGTCAGGCTGCTGTTGGTGTTTACGCCCTCTCTGCTCGGGCCGACCACACTTTGGATCAGGTCTGGCTGCTCTCTGGTCCCCTCTCATCGAGGCTTTTTGGTCAGAAAGTTCATTCATGCACGTCTGGTTCAGCTCAGACCCAGAATCTTGGCGACCTCTAGTTTCCCGTTTTGCTTTATTCATACACCAACGTTTCCACCTCAGGCAACCGTTTTGTGGTCTTTAAGTTTTGTTTTTCTGTGTTTGCTCTGTTTCTTGAAGCTCAAATTGTAAAATGTGACTCAGGAAGCTGCTGCAAGCCAGTGAATTATAGTCGTTTTAGGACTGTGTTAAATCCCCCGCAGCCGGTTGAACAATGTAATAAGTTCTTTTTTTTTTTTTTTATGAGAAGGTGGCTGCTATAAGGGCCCCTGTGGTAGGGTTAGTGCCCAATCCTTCGGTCTATACTCCTTGTTTGGCTATTTTTGATGCTTTTGAGCCGGTAACTCTGACTTTTTTGGAGGGAGTGGTTGCCCAGGCCAAGCCTTCTGGCTCCCCTCGAGATGGTGTTTCTCCGGCTCTATCTAAGGAAGTCTTCCCTTGTTCTGGAAGAACAGTTTTGGATATTGTTAACAGTAGTTTGTCTTCTGGTATTGTCCCTGGTCATTTCAAACATGCAGTTTTGCAACCTCTGCTCAAGAAGCCAGGTCTGGATCAATCCATACTGAGTAATTTCAGGCCTATTTCAAAGTTGCTTGTTTGACCATGACATTTTAATATCTCAGTTTCAGCATTTGCTGGGCATTCGTGGTGCTGCCCTAGCGTGGTTTAAGTCATATTTATCGGGTAGATCGGTGTCTGTCGGGTTGGCAGATGTTGAATCTGTGACAACCCCTTTGTTATCGGGGGTCCCACGGGGCTCCATTTTGGGGCCTCTGCTTTTTTCACTGTATTTACTTCCCCTTGTCTCTATCTTTAGGAAACGTGGGGTCTCTTTTCACTGTTATGCTGACAACGTCCAGATTATTATGCCACTGAGTAAGAAGTCTGTGCAGATTCTCAGTCATCCAGGTCATAGTAAACTGAAGACATAGTAAACCACAATATCCCAGTTAACTTTAAACCAGGGAACACCCTGCGGCAGAGACTGGTCCACCTGAAGGACAAAGCACCCAGACATAACACCCAGGTAACGACTCTCACCGATACTGGGCTACAATGACTCAGTCGTTAAGGGACATTGTTGGCCATCAAAGGACTGAAACACCACCGAGGGGGATAAATATCTAGGCTCAACACCAGTCAGTCAGAACTGATGAAGCCTCTTGGATGAGAGGTGAAACGTCTTCGACCTAGAAATCTAGTCCAGTTGATTTTTTTTCTAAGGTTTTACAGTTCACTGAGTAAGAAGGACACCTACTGGATTCAACCACTTTGTCTTGTTGATATTAAGGGCTGGATGTCTCTAAGCCGTTTAAAGTTAAATGATGCTAAAACTGAAGTTATAGTGTTTGGCCCGAATACGTCTGG